CTGCAACAGCTGTACAGCACATGAGATTTTTTCCATTTACTTACAACATTAAATTGAAAATTAGTTCCCATGAGGGCTTTTTTTTTTTTTTTTGAACCACTCCTTCAAATAAAAAGAGCACACAAGAATTTAGAAAACCTATTAAAATCATCGGCTGGAGGAAGAAAAAAGTGAAACTGTTCTGATAACATCAGCATCCCTGCCCACAGGCAAAAAAAAAAAAAAAAAAAAACCACCCATCTCGCAAGCCGAGACTTTTCCCATCAAGACTGCATCAATCTAGAGAGAAAACTCCGCCCTGGTTTCAGAAAGGTGATTCCCATCCCTGCAGGACTCCTGGGGGAGTCTCCCTGTTGTGCTGGGAATTAATTTCAACATGAGTGACTCTGCACAGGTGAAAATGGAGATTGAGCTCGTCTAGCAATTAACACAGCTGTGAGGGCTTCGGTTTAAATGCATTTTCCAAGCAATCACCTGCCTTTGGACCCTCAGCTCTGCTCGTTATGCTGCACTGTTTATATCTGCATTCCCATTAAAGCTGGACTACTTCTCACATCCCATTGAATCCCGCAGTTGGAGATGTCTTGCCTCTGCCTCTCAGTCCGTCAGCCTCCTCTGTTCCAGGGGTCATTCCCTGCCCAGTGCACCCCCCGTGGTACACTATTCACAGATGGCATCATTTGGCCCTTGATTGTACTTGGACTTGGATTGTTCTTCCACCTTCTCATGGGTTACTCTTTTCTCCCCTGGTTTTAAGAACCATACTTTCCGTAACCTTAAAAAACCTCATGGAGTGCTGGATGCAGGCATAGCAAATGTTTATGGGCTTAGTATTTGTCCAAAAGGAGACTCCTTAATTAACGAGAGACTTGGGAGGCTCCTAGCATAGGCATAGCAAGTCAGCCCTGGCTTCGAGCCCCACTCCATCACTTTCTAACCCTGTAACTTGGAGCAATTTCCTTCCCTTTGCTGAATTTTCTTAGTCATCTTGAAAACAAAGAGAAGAAGGGGCTGGCTGGTGCCATGACATGGCAGATAAAGGTGCCGCCTGCAGTGCTGGCAACCTGTATGGGTGCCAGTTCAAGACCCGGCTGCTCCACTTCTGATCCCACTCTCTGCTATGGCCTGGGAAAGCAGTGGAGGATGGCCCAAGTGCTTGAGGTCCTGCAATGGAGTGGGAGACCTAGAAGAAGCTCCTGGCTCCAGATTGGCCCAGCACCAGCTGTTGCAGCTTTTTGGGGAGTGAACCAGCGATGGAAGAAAGATTGATCTCTCTCTCTCTCTCTGCCTCTGCCTCTTGGTAAGGCTGCCTTTCAAATTAATAAATAAATCTTTAAAAAAAAAAAAAAGAAAATGAAGAGAATGATAGTACTCATTTTGTGGGACTGTTGGAGGATGCCATGAAACAATGACTAAAAGGTGCTTACCACAGGGAAAGCTATCCTAGGAACAGGACACTACAATAAGCACGACTTGTCATCAACAACAAATTCGTACCTAAGCTGGGAGGAGGGGCAGGCAGGTGACACCAGCAGGGACGCCACTGAAGAGGCTCTGCTTTGCATTCCTCATGGTACAACAAAGTCTTCGGCTCTTTGAGACCAATTCTCAGCCGCTAGCACAAATACCTGTTTTTCATAAATGTATCAGGTACTATTGAGAATATGATCACTTTGCTACTTAAATTGTGGTTATGCGAGGATGGGCCCTGGGTGAAGGACAGATGGATACTCTAATACTTGCGCGACTTCTGAAAATCTAAAACCACCTTAAACTCCGTGTTTCATTGACATATTCATTTACTAATCAGCCATTTCTTTGAACTCTGCTTTCTATACTTAGATTTCCTTTACAGAAACAACTGTGTTTGTAAAATGGACTCCAATTTGTATTGATCCTAGCATGAAAATACCTTCTTTCGACTTCTTCTATTTAAATATTTAACCACTACACGTATCCTCTGTGTGATCTGGCACAAGTTACCTCATTTCCTGTGCCTTGGTTTCTTCACTTAGGAAGGTGCTGAAATCAAGCCCTCACAGGTGTGCACACTTAGCTCTGAAGAGCTGAGGAAGTGGCTCTTCTGTGGAAAGCACTGGAGAAGTGCCAGCTGCTGCTGCTACTATCACTTCGGAGAGCTGCAAGTGGGCGTCGCCCCAGAATTCACCTGTTGAGTCAACGCCCAACCGGAGAGTATTAAGTAGGAGGGGTTGGCGTCTGGTGTGGTGGTTGAGACACCACTTGAGACTTCCGCAACCCATCCCAGAGTGCCTGTTAGAGGCCCAGCTCCACTTCCCATTCCAGCTTCCTGCTAATGTGCGCCCTGGGAGGCAGCAGCTCAAGTACTTAAGTCCCTGACACCCACATGGGAGACCCAGATTCAGTTTCTGGCTCCTGGCTTCAGTGTAACCAAGGCCTAGTTGTTGTGAACACTTGGGAAGTGAACCAGCAGATAGAGGATGGAAGGCAGATTGAATCTTTCCCTTCCTCCCTCTGTCTCTCTCTTTCAAATTAATAAGAAAAAAGAAAAAGTGGTAGGGCCTTTTGGGAAATGAAGTCATTAAATGCTGTGCCCTCATGAATGGGCTGAGTGCCTTGCCAAAAAGCTGAAAGGGAATGTTTGCCCCTCCAACCACACGAGGACATGGCCAGAGGTGCCAGCTGTGCAGCCAAGAGCTGAGAGCTGCGAGGAATGCGTGCCTATCACTTGTAAATTACCCGGTCTGAGGCATCCAGCTATACAGCGGCCTGAATGAATAAGGCATCATTACTCTTACAGCACTGCTGAGCCCGCACTCCGGGAGTTGAGCTGTTATCTATACAAAATCTTTTTAGGCTCATTTCCTAGGGACTTGACCTAAACAGCGGCTGTAAGTCACACTGGTTTGCTTGCACACATGGAAAGCCCATGTCCAGTTCAGTGATGGGTATGGTCTGCTACATGGTTCTGCGATTCTGATTCAAGGTCAATTGCCGGCATTGGTGCGATCAGCACGCGTGAGCCTGGACCTGATGGGATCTGGCCTTTCTCTTCCACTGTGTGTGACCCTGGCCAGGGCACCTGTGCCTTTCTGCGCAGTTTCCTACCTGCAAGCCTCTTGCAGCTTACGGAAGAGACTAAAAGCCTCGGGCAGCACCATGTGATTTAGGGCTTTTCTTCCAGGAGAAGGCATGGGGCACGTCCAGCATGCAGCGCGTGTTCTGCTTTATCCAGAAACACAACGGGTGACAATTCGACATTTAAAGCCTGTCCAGGCGTTCTGGCCTTACAAGGAGCTGCGAGGGGCACGGGCGAGCCCCGTGATTAAACTCTGCCTATTCACCTGGGATGCCTATTCTACTGCCAACAGCGGTCGCTGTGGAAATAAAGGCAAAGCACAGGAGTGTCCCCCACTACGAGGTCTGCTTTCCGCGGCTCCATCCCTCACGGCCTGCGAGGGCTTTGTTTGCCAGCAATTGTCTCCTCAGTGGCTCCCTCCCTGCTTGCCACCCCGACACACGGCTCTGACAAATGCCTCCGTAGAAGAGAGAGAGAAACAAGGGGGAGGATGTGACACCGCGGATGTCCTCAGGGCTCCCAGGAAGGCCTCCTTCCTCCGGGCAGAGAGCCACGAGAAAGGCAGGGGACCCCTGGATCGCAGCAGCCCAATCAAACGGAGACGGGGGTGAGGGCTGCATCCCCCACGTGCAAGGGTCCAACAGGGATGGTTTTTGGGAAAACAGAAGAACTTCTCTAGGACACAGGAAGTCCGAAGGGACTCTGTGTCGATGGCAGGGGTTTCAGCCCCAGTTCCTTCCAGCTTGACAGTTACACAGGTGGTTTTTCCTAAAGTGACCCACGGCACGCTGTGTGGCCCCTCCTAGCAACACCTCTCAGTCCCTTGCTTCGTCTTCTTCCCCGAGAGAGGCCAACATTGGGTAGAAAATCTGCTTATTTGTCAAAGGAAAGAATTTCGAATGTATTTCCCAAAGTAACCTTTCCTGGAACTCTCCTTGCCCGTTCCTTTCTCTTAAACAGAACCCGCCAGCCTTTCTTCCATGTCTTCTGTCATTTACAAATAAATACCATTAAATAGCTCAACCTTCCTAAACACAAAGCCTCTGCTGACCAAATGAGACAAATGCTTTTGTCAAAGACAGAGTATTCAGGGGTCCATAACGGAGTCCCAGGAGCAAGGAGACAAGGCTGACATCTGGGCGTTACACCTAAGTCACGGAAGGAGAGGCCAAGCTGTCCCGAGCCCGTGGGGGTTCCTGGTCGACAAGACTCCGGGATGACTTGATTGCATGTACTGAGGCACCCACAGGGGGCTGTGGGGGAACTAAAGGAAAAGCCGTGCCCCAGCAGGGCCCCAGCTGCAGCTCTGAGAAGCCAGCATCCTGTCCTGCCGGTAGGGAATCCAGTATGGGAACGGGAAGCACGGGGCTTGCAGCCTCAAGCCTAGGTTTGGATCCTGACTGCTCACTTAGCAAACCTGCAACGCTGCAAGTTACCAATCTCCCTGTGCCTCAGTCTCCTCTTCTTGCAAAAGGATGCTAACAACTGGGTTGCCGTGAGGACTAAACAGATCAATTGTGCAAAGTTCTAGCCCCGTGCCTCAGACAGCAGCAGCATACAGCTCCTCACTGACTGCTGCTGTTGAGGTGGAGTTATCCCGAGGTCATCACAGCCCCCAACCCCCTCCCCGCCACTAAACTTCCGGATCATCCACGGTCTCCCTCCTCCAAGCCTATCAACCGCATTTTGATCAAAGGGCTTCCCTGTTGGGGCAAGTACAATGGCAATGCTCTCAATAGCCCAGACCACTCGGGGCTTGTGACTTTGTACGACCTTGAGTACTTGGGCACACTGGGGTGCCCAGGCCAGTTTTCTGGGAGATGTGTGAAGTCTGCAGGGCCCAGGCACCGTGGTGACTCCAGCAGGACAGACGCCTTCAGCCCGGCCCCCGGCTCGCTCCCTCTTCCCCTCGTGGAGCTGCTGCCGGCCGAGCAAGGCTTACCCGTGACGTGGAGCTTTTCATCGGTGACCTCGGCCTTCAGGTAGATCCGTCCCCTCTTCTCCGTATGATCCATCCCACACAGGCTGGGGACATTGATCACACACTGCTTGTGAACGTTCATGTCGCAGGCTGTGGGTGGAGAAAGCACAGGGTGAGGGTGGCCATATGCTCTGTGCTCACTTCTTCAGTGTTTTGCTGTCGGAGCAGAAGTGAAAATGAGTTACCCCCCAACTTGATACTTTGCTGTAATGTTTGCAGTGACATAAAGAACTGTTAGCAGATGTCCCTTACAGCAGAGGCTTCGTGTGAGTGACAATATCCTTAAAATACCCATACTATATTTGTTCAGTCCTAACTGAAGCAAAATGTCCCAGCTTGGTCTTCCGTGAGGGTTTCAACTAACAGGATGCAAGATTCACGCAGGTAATGAGTACAGAGCCCCGACTAATCGTATTTCCTATACACAGAGGCAAATACTTTGCACATTTTAAGCAGGGGATGCTTTTTGCCAAAGAATTCCTTATGTCTTTCTGAGCTCACCAACATGAAAGAGTGAAAACACGTGGGTTGGGTATAAGAAATTCATGAAATTTTCTTTTCCAAAACTAGCCTTGCATTTTCAAGAAGGTTTAAGTACATTGCTTTTTATTTTTTTAAGAACCTGTGTTTGATATTTTAAACCTGTCTTCAAATATTTAAATATTATTTCAAGGAAAACAAATAGAAGCCTGGCATGATCAGCCATTCTTTTCAGCTGACATTACGTGGGCGAGACGGGGGAGGATGTGAAAGAGATCAGTCTTATTGCAGTGAACCAAAGAAACCCTGAAAATAATCCTGGGCGCCTACTGCGAACCCGAGACTCTGTGTGGGTGTTCCGGCTCCCCGTCCTTGGGCCCTGGTGCTTCCATAAGGAGGGGTGGCGGCTGGTGCGTCACAGTTCCTGATGGGATGCTGACGAGTTTGCTTCCTTTCACTTTGAGTGTTTACCACAGGACAGTAAATGGTGAAAAGCATCAGGATGAGGTGTATCTGCTGTGTGTTAAACACTGGAAGCAGGATGACGGATACACTGGGGAAGGGTGATTAGCTGATTGACCAATGTGGACCCTGGTGTTTTTTTTTTTTTTTTGACAGGTGGAATTAGACAGTGAGAGAGAGAGAGAGAGAGAAAGATCTTCCTTTTCTGTTGGTTCATCCCCCAAATGGCTGCTACGGCCGGTGCGCTGTGCCAATCTGAAGCCAGGAGCCTGGAGCTTCTCCTGGTCTCCTGTGCGGGTGTAGGGCCCAAGGACCTGGGCCATCCTCCACTGCACTCCCAGGCCACAGCAGAGAGCTGGACTGGAAGAGGGGCAACCAGGACAGAATCCGTTGCCCCAACCGGGACTAGAACCCAGGGTGCTGGCGCCATAGGCGGAGGATTAGCCTAGTGAGCCGAGGTTCTGGCTGTGGACCCTGTTAACACTTCTATTTTGGGAGTGAACAGTTGAGGATCCTGTACCTTGATCTGGCCCATAGAAAAGTTGGGCAAGTGACAGAACGTGCGTTAGCTCAATCATATCTTTACATGTGTGGCCCGATTCCCAGGGTACTGGAAACAGATGGCGACAAGAAGACAATGGAGCTGCGAGCGCACTGGGCTGTGCTGCTGTCTGGCTCCATCTCAGACAGCCTCTGCTGCCTGCAACAGCTCCTCTGGCCTCTCCCATTCTGTTTCCCCCTCTACAAAGGAAGAGCCTGGCCTACCCAGGAGGCTGCTCCCTGCCCCCACAGCTCTAGAAAGGGATCGTGTGTAGATAAGGCACAGGGAGCAGCTTCTCACCGCAGAAGTTAGGGCAGAGGATGGGGTCTGGCACCATCTGCTAAGTTTTCTTCTCCCTTCAGAAAGGAACATGAGCAGTGCCCCCACCCCCCACCCCAGAAGCTCTAAAATTCCAAGGAAACAAGTTTGAAACAAAACAAAAGCATTGGTCCAGGTCAGTGGTTTTCAACATTTCTTAGTAATGGATCCTGTTTTGCAAATGAAATCTAAAGCAGAATCCTAATAGACACAGGAGATGACTGTTATTCATTAGCATAAATTTAGTTAATAAATTCAAATTTATACCATTTATTTATTATAAAGACATTCAAGGACAAGCAATAAAGCCCTCTGATCTGAAGGAAACTTGGAACCAGATCTTAGGGATGCCAGCTGACATCTGCTACAGCTTGAATGTGTCCCTTAGAAGTCCATGTGTTGGGGCCGGGCACTATGGTGTAGTGGGTAAAGCCGCTGCCTGCACTGCCAGCATCCCATGTGGGTGCCGGTTTGAGTACCGGCTGCTCCTCTTCTGATCCAGCTCTCTGCTGTGGCCTGGGAAAGCAGTGGAAGATGGACCAACTCCTAGGGCCCCTGCCCCGATGTGGGAGACCTGGAAGAAGCTCCTGGCTTCTGATTGGCCCAGCTCTGGCCATTGCAGCTATTTGGGGAGTGAACCAGACGATAGAAGACCCCCCTCCCTCTCTGCTTCTGCCTCTCTGTAACTCTGCCTTAAAAATAAATAACTCTAAAAATAAAATGAAATAAAAAAAAGTTCATGTGTTGGGAACTGAATCCCCAAATAGGGGGCCCCAGGATGGCACCAGCAGTTCTATAAGGAAGACGGAGCTGAGCTTGGACGCTTGCTGTCTGCCCATGCAATGCCCTCCACCGCGCTACGCCACAGCAGGAGGGCCGTCACCAGATGCTGATGTCAGGCCCTTGAGCTTCCTGGCTTCTAGCACGGTGAGCTCTTTATATAAATTTACCGAGTCGCAGATATTCTGTTATGGCAACAGAAAACAAACTAAGACAATGTCTCAGACCAGCGTCAGTAGCCCATTCATTTCTGTATTCTGTTACAGCTTTACAGTATTGGAAAATGCTGGTTCATGCACAAATGTGTATGCCAAGGGGAACCATGTTAGATTGTTTGCTTCTGCATCCCAGGGACCCTTAGCTAAGTGGATGTGGCCGGAGAAACATGACTGCAGGTTCTGTCAAATCAATGCATTCTCCTTTTCACCCCCAGAGCACTGCCTTTGTCAAGGTGGGATATGCAACACAGGCAGATGTTTGTTTCTGGTCCAGAGTTTAAAATACTTAAAAATACGTACACACTTACAGGGCTGGGCATTTTGGCAGTGGTTAAGATGCCCGCATCCCCCTGGGTTTGAGTCCTGGCTCCACTTCTGATTCTAGATTCCTGCTAATGTGCACCCTGGGGGGCAGGGGTGACGGCTTAAGTGGCTGAGTTCCTGCCACCCACGTAGGCGACGTGGCTTCGGCAAGTCTTGGCTTTGTGGGTATTTAGGGGTGTGCGTTCTCTCTCTCCCTCTCTCTCTCTCTCTTTCCTTCTCCCTCCAAATTAACAAATGAAATTTAGACCCTTAGGGAACACATTTACGAATGCACGCAGAGTCAGCACTTGTAGAACCCTGCAACACCACGTGTCTCGAATCCTAGGGGTTCCTGAGGAACAAAGACCACTGGCCTGGAGGATGGCAAAGGCGTCGTTAGGCGCTAAGTGTGTAACCGCAGGAAGTGGACGCTGCCTGTGTTCTGAGAAACTCTCTGTCTGTAATGGTCCCACACAGTCACTCTGCACCCTGTGTTTGTTCCCCGGAGAACAAAGGAAGGCTCTCGGCCCCTGTGGCAGTCAGGAGTGAATGGCAACACGCTGTGATTTCCACCAAACTTTTACGCGTATTAGAAATGTGAGCTTGGTAATTACCTTCTCATGTCCTAAAAGCCCAAGTTTTTATATTTAATCAAAGAGTCTGGGGAATCCCATAATTTAAGAATTCTCGAAGCAAAGAGTTTCCACGCTTGCTTTTCTTCCCTCCTGGTGTTAATACACACAGGATGACGGAAAAGGAGAAAGGACATAGGCTGAAGTCCTTGACAGGGGTCGTGGGCGACTTCTCCTTGAACCAGACGGAGGTAAATCTGATCTGTCTACACTGTGCAGGGTGAGCGAACTTAAGATGTGAGCCTGGCTTTTATGTTCATTTTGGTTTCAGTTTTAAGGCGCGCCTCCTGGATTTTTCCACCGTCCACCCACTAATTAGAGACATGGGAGGATAATGACCGTGGCTGCTCAGCTTATGTGGAAGTTCAACCAAATGCGGGGTCTGGAGGTGGGGAGCCTTCTCCGGGCTCTGACTAACCTACATTTTAGGATGACGGATGGTTTCTACCACTGAAAGCAAAACGTGACAGCACCCACCAACCTCATTTATAAATCAAGTACCTCTGCCTTTTGCTCTTAATTGGGCAATTACGTCATGTAACCAGCTAGAACTTGGACAGCCGGGTGATTCTACACTCTTTCCCTGGCTGGCACGCATGGGAGCTAAATTCCCTCTGTGGATGAGCTGGTGCTGAGGATGGGACCGGGCCTTCCGTGCTCGGCGATCCTTGACATCTGCCAGAGAAGAAAACTTACTGTCACATTTCATCCCCTGGTGGATGAGTCCGTACAGCAGTGACCCACAGTGATCGCAGAAGGTGGGGCTCCCGTAGGTGTGGATTTTAAACTTGTGCTTGCTCCTGGGGTCCTGGGGGGAGAGAAAGCACAGTGCTCACTCCAGGCCTGGAAGGGACATGTTTTTGGATAAAGTCACTGTACCCCATCCCCCGCCAAGGCTCTATAACACCAGACCATGCACCATTCTGCAGGGTCATGGGATGGTGACACTGTTGCTGCTACACCAGATTTTTACATGATAAATACCCATTTTTCTTCTCTGGCATGTGACTGGCACACGCCAGACTTCCACCAATGCTATGACCTCTGGACCTATTGTCTTCAAAGCCCTTGGGGGCCGGCGCCGCGGCTCACTAGGCTAATCCTCCGCCTAGCGGCGCCGGCACACCGGGTTCTAGTCCCGGTCGGGGCGCCGGATTCTGTCCCGGTTGCCCCTCTTCCAGGCCAGCCCTCTGCTGTGGCCAAGGAGTGCAGTGGAGGATGGCCCAGGTGCTTGGGCCCTGCACCCCATGGGAGACCAGGAAAAGCACCTGGCTCCTGCCATCGGATCAGCGCGGTGCGCCGGCCGCGGCGGCCATTGGAGGGTGAACCAACGGCAAAGGAAGACCTTTCTCTCTGTCTCTCTCTCTCACTGTCCACTCTGCCTGTCAAAAAAAAAAATAATAAAATAAAATAAAATAAAATAAAAAACAAAGCCCTTGGGGGCTTTGTTGTTGCTGTTTTAATTCATTATTTATTTTCATCTTATTTGAAAGGCAGAGAGACAAAGACAGAGCACAATCTCCCATGGCTGGTTCATTCCCCAAATGCCTGCAACAGCCAGGGTTGGGCTGCACCAAAGCCAGGAACCCTGAACTCAGTCTGGGTCTCCTAGGTGGTGGCAGGGACCCAAATCCTTGAGCCCTCACCTGCCGCCTCCCAGGGTGTGCAGTAGCAGGAAGCTGGAGTCAGAAGTGAGCTGGGACTCAAACCCAGGCACTCTGACACAATGTGAGTCCCAGGCAGAATCGTAACTGTTGCACCAAATGCATGCCCACAGCCAGTGTTTGAAATAAGGCAGCATCTCTGTCTCCCAGGACACACAATCAGGGCCTGTCTGTGAGGCAGCTCCGAGTTTCCCCGGATCTGAGCCTTCAAGAGAGCCCCTGTGCAAAGTTTCCAAAGATACAATGCGCTGTGAGAGCAGACGTACTCCCAAACCGGCAGGGACCTTGTCCTGGGCCTGTGCTATTCCCGGGAGCGTTAGCTGGCACAGGCAGACGGGTCTCGGAAAGGCGCTGCAATTCCCTCCGGCAGCCCTGCCGCAACGCCACCGCTTTCCCTAGCACACCACACAAAGGACCCAAAGGGTAACCGGACGCGCGTTTCTGTGGCTTTGTTCTTCCTGGTAGGTAAAGTGCAGTTGTGTGATTCACGGATGAATTATAGACAGGGAAGTACAAACTCCGTATAGCATATCACGGTGGTCCACAAGCTTAGACTCTGGGGTCACTGCCTGGGTTCCGACTCGAGCTCTTCTACTCTACAGAAGCATGGCCTTGGACAAAGGCACATCATTTATCCTTTCTGCCTCATCTGTAAGCCGGGAATTAATAGCACCTATATCCTGTGGTTGTCATGGGGACAAAACGCGTCAATCTTCACAAATGCCCAGAAGGGTGCATGGACAGCACCAAGAAGATGGAGCAGGGAAGTGCCTCTGCCTACTGATAAAAAGCGCCTCTGCACTTCCCAGCACTGATAAAAATAAGCATTCTCCCTGTGTTGTTGGTTGTATAATTATTACCCTCATTTTACAGGATGTTATTGACTTTCCCAAAAGACACGTGGGGTGCGCCGGCCGCAGTGCGCCAGCCGCGGCGGCCATTGGAGTGTGAACCAATGGCAAAAGACACAAGGTATTTGGAAGCCAGGGCTGAGACGTGGCCGACTTCCGATTTCCATCTCAGGGCTTCCAGAGATCTTCTCAGGATGAGGATCTGGCTCTTAAGATCTTTTAACTTTTATATCTGCAATGTATTTTTTTTGGCAACAAATCTGCCACCTGTTTTTATAAATAAACTTTTATTGGAACATAGCCATGCTCATTTATTTACATATTTCTCTGGCGACGGGGCAGAGCTGAGCGGTTGTGTCAGAGCCCATGTGAGCCAGAAGCCTGCAGCGGTGCCCTCCGCCTGTCTAGGAAAGGCCTGCCAGCCCCCGTGTTAGGACAGTGGTTTACCAACGGGTCCCTACGAAGCGTCACATCACCTGGAATCTGTCAGAAATGCAAACTGTGTGACCCTCCCCAGCCCAGCTGAGTCAAACGCTGGGGACAGGGCTTCACTGTCCAAGTTTTAACAGGCCCTGCAGGTGACGCTGATGGCAGGCACAGCAGAGATGGCACCTCTGCTTTAGCAGGCCGTTCCACAGTCGTCAGTGCCTCACAGGTGCCAAGCAAACACACACGTAGATGATTAACGGTGTTCTTGGGACAGGTCACCAGTTCACCTTCTACGTGTTTCTCTTGGGTGTGAAAAATCAACATCCTCAAAAGATTCCTTCTCCTAGCAAGTGGTAGCTGTGACTGTGTCGGAGGTAGGGCCGTGGACTTCCACCACCAACGCCAGCCCACAGACTTCTCCAGGCCCCCGGGACGGGAGGCAGCAAGTCGAGGGAACAGGCTGGTGTCAGCACTAATCCGAAGTACCCACGCTGACAGCAAAGGTTGCATCCTACATCTTGGAGGGCAAAGACGACGCCGGAGGAAAGAAGTAGACCAGTTTTTCCCTGCAGAAACGAGACATCAGCTGCTGGCACTGAATAAATCAAGAATGGCAGCTGACAGAGAGCCCTCTGGAGTCTGTGCACGCCAGGCAGCAGCAGGGCGGCTGTCCTGGACTGTCACGTGGATCTCTGGTGACATGGCACACAGGCAACTCGCTCCACTTTGCAGGAACTCCAGGTCTCCCTCATCCAGCACTCACAGGGTGTGTCATCAGGCCCCAGCCATCTGGAGGGGTGGGAAGAGAGGAAACAATGGCTTCCACTTCCTGTGTAAGCACCAAGTCTTGGAGTCCTTCCAGGTTCCCAAATTACAGGTGTGGCCAAGGATCCTGCCAGCGCAGTAAATGACCTCAGCAAAAATAGTAACAGCAGCACCTGCTTGATGGTTGTCAAATGTGCAGATACGCGCTTTATGATAACCAAGAATGTCTTGGAACCAGAGTCTCCCATTCAAAGAGTATTTGCCAGGATTCTGGCGACCTGACACAGACTCTGCGATCTTGAAAAGTCAGTCACTAATTTATAAAGCAGAAGTAATAGCAGTCTGCCCATGTCACGGGCGAAGGGTGAAGTTCAACCTCGGGGAACTATGAGAAAGGTTTGGCCACGTGGATATCACTGGACGGACACACGAGATTATTATTATACACCCTTGGAAGGTAAAGGTACCACAGCGAGAGCTAACTGGCTGTGACTCAGGAGGATGTGCAGAGAAAGCTTGTACTAAAGATCTCCCCAGGCTCTTTGTGTTTCTACCAACAGCTACTAACCAGCAATGCTTTTCACTTCTTCTGGGACCTGATTTCTTCCTCTTGGCCCCTAAAGGTGTTGGGTGAAATCGCCATTCTTTAAAATGGTATTTCATGGGGCCCTATGGGTATCAGGAGGTGCCCAGGGCTGCCGAGGATGGAGATGGGAGAAGGCAAAGGAGAGAAGTCACTGCCAAATTCAAGTTGGAGACAACTGGACTACATGGTCTCTTCTGTGCCATCTTGATTAAAAAAAAAAAGTTTTTATTTTGAAATCATTTAAGACTCACAAGAACTTGCAAAAATAGTACAGACTGTTCCCGTGCGCTCTTCATCCAGCTTTCCCCAGCGAGAACATCTTACATAACCACACGACGTGAACAGAACCAGGACACAGACGCTGCTACCACGCCATCAGCTAAATGGCAGGCTTTAAGGTTTCACCGGGTTTTATGTGCATAATTCCAAGGCAAGTATTTTCATTGTACAGCTTATGAATTAAATCTACTTTTGACCGAGGAGGGAACATCGGCTGGCTAAGTACTACTAACTCAAGTGCAACAGCACTACAGTGACATCTGCTACTTGTGCATTAAACATATAACCTGTTGGTTCTCTCATTAAGGGATCGTGGGAGGATGTATCTAAAGCATTATCTGAAAAGTCAAATCTGAATGTTTCTTCTTTTTGCTTTTAAAGATTTATTTGTTATTTATTTGAAAGGCAGAGTTACAGAGAGGGAGAGAGCGAGCGAGCGAGCTCCATCCACTGGTCCACTCCCCAAACGGCTGTGACGGCCAGGGCTGGGCCAACCTGAAGACAGGAACTGGGAGCTTCTTCTGGGTCTCCCATTTGGGGCCTTTCAGGAAAGCAGCGGAAGATGGCCCAAGAGCTTGGGCCTCTGCACCCACGTGGGAGACCCAGAAGAAGCTCTTGGCTTCAGTCTGGCCCAGCCTTGACCATTGCAGCAATTTGGAGAATGAACCTCTCGAATCTTTCAAATAAATAAAATAAATCTTAAAAAAAAAAAAAAAAAAAGCCGGCGCCACGGCTCACTAGGCTAATCCTCCGCCTAGCGGCGCTGGCTCACCGGGTTCTAGTCCCGGTTGGGGCGCCGGATTCTGTCCCGGTTGCCCCTCTTCCAGGCCAGCTCTCTGCTGTGGCCAGGGAGTACAGTGGAGGATGGCCCAGGTGCTTGGGCCCTGCACCCCATGGGAGACCAGGAAAAGCACCTGGCTCCTGGCTCCTGCCATCGGATCAGCGTGGTGCGCCGGCCGCAGCGCGCCGGCCGCGGCAGCCATTGGAGGGTGAACCAACGGCAAAGGAAGACCTTTCTCTCTGTCTCTCTCACTGTCCACTCTGCCTGTCAAAAAAAAAAAAAAGAAAAAAAGAAATATCACACCCTACCCCAGAACTCTGTACGGTTATTGTGTGTTAACTGACCATCACACATTGCCTTTATGTACTGAAGTGTCAAACTCTACCCCAATAACCAGTACAATTAAAATACAAAGAGTGTGTAGGCTTCGGGACTTCCAGAGGGTGCTTGGAA